AGGAAACTGAGTGAGAGAAATTAAGTAACTATGCCAAAATATCAGTTAAACAAGTGGTACAACTGGAATTCGGATGGATGCTTTCACTCCATTGTCTTTGCTGTTAGGCAGTTACTCTGTGCCAGGTACTTTGTGAAGCATTCGAAACAAACTATCTCATTTAATCTGCAACCAACTCTTAAGAGGTAAATATACTATTTCCTAATTTTACTAGAGAGGAAAACAAAGGCTTAGAAAGGCAAAATGACTTGCCCAAGCTCATATGCCAGTAGAGGTTGGAGTACGGATTTTGAAAATGAAATAAAAGAGCACCAGGCAGAGTGAAGTTTTAGGGCTGCTCTTGTTTCAAACTCAGCCGTGTGACTTTGAGTCAATTAATGAATTTCTACCATCTCCATGTTTTCCTCTGTAAAAGGAGGGCACTGATAACATTGATAGCGAAGTTCTTCCCAGTGCTAAAATTCTGATGCTCAGTATCTGTTTTCTCTTTAGTCCCTTGCTTGACGATCCCTAGAGGGAAAGTCATTAACCACACAGAACCTGAAAATGTCTCTGGAAACAAAATTTAGAAAACATCTTAAAAGGAGAAAATAATCAGTTTACAGAACGTCTTCCTTTAGAAAGTAAGGCTGCCCTGCAAAGTATCTGGCTTGATGTGTGAGACTCTGAGACCAGACACAGGTCACACATATCTCCCTGCCCAGCCAGCACCCCTGGGGGCAGAGAGTCAGGGAAGTTAGTTCAGATCCTTTCTGGCCTGATGAGCTGGCTGAAGCTGGAAGAAGCCCACCGTGTGTGGGTGTTCTATCTTGAATTCAAAATGTCTATACCATTCTGTCTACTTCTGTTTTTGTTCTTAGTGATGATTATATACTGACACAGTTCACTGCTACCATAAACGAGTCCCCACCCCAGCCTGTTGTAAGCCATGTTGTAGTGAACAGGACTGGGTTCCATGACTCTTTCTGATTCTGATCAAAAGCGTGAACCTGAATTTGTGAGAAAGCTTGACCAAAAACAAAACAAAACAAAGCTATCTGTAGCTTCGGCGTCATGAGAAAGTCACTTAAATTCTCTTAGTGCTCCCATTTTCCAAATCTCTTTTGTAAAATGATGTTTATACTACATGCTCCCCAGTGTTATGAAGTGCAAATAGTATGGCATTTATGGAAGTGATTTGTGGAGATGGATATCTCTCAGCTGACAATGACAGTGAGGCTGAGAGAATGCCTCTCACCCAGACACCTGGTGGTGGGGTGCTCTGAGCAAGTGATTCAGCAACAAGCAGGCTTGAATTACAGACATGACTCTGCCTGTCATTTGGGAAAGTCACTAAACCTCTGTAAGTCTTTTCAATTTGTATAATGTAAAACTGAAATAATAAACATGAAGCTCCTGAAACAGGATAAACCATTAATAAGGGGCAACTGTTATTATTTTCATTATCAATTATTGAATTATGACACAGTTAAGAGACTCAGAATATCAGGTCTTATTTTCTAAGATGCATATACTAATTCACCCAGAACTCCAGAAAAAGGCCAGTATGAAAGTGGGCTGTCCTGAGACAGCAGGTAGTCTGTTCTTCTGTACTAAATGGCAGAGGTTAATTCTGGAAGTATGGCCTTATACACATCACATGTAGGAAATCTGAACATCTTTCCTAAGTGCCTACCTTCTGGGACTGCAGGAATTCTACTAGACCTTTGGCATCACCAAACTTGCATTTACATTCTAAGCCCTTCTGAGTAGTATATGATTACAGAGAAATAATTCCTAATACTTTTTAGAAGAATCCCATTTTAAGGTTAAAATGTTTTCATGAAATCCCATATAATAATAGTTCTACTATGCCAGGGATGTAGCTCAGTGGCACAATGCCTGCCTGGCGAGCGTGAGGCCCTACCAAAAAAGAAAAAAAATAATTGTAGTTCTACTTTAAGTATCCATTGTTTGACAAAATACCCAATTAAAAATTTAACCACAGTAAAAAGAAATTCAAGGGTCCTCTCTTTAAAAAAAATTTAATGTTGGGCGTGGTGATGCACACCTGTAATCCCAGCACTCAGGAGGCTGAGGCAGGAGGATCACTGTGAGTTTGAGACCATGCCTGAACTACATAATGAGTTCCAGGTCAGTCTCAACTACATAGTGAGACCCTGTCTCAAAAAACCAAATAAATAAATAAATAAAATTTTTAAAATTTTAAAAATAGGTAGTACAGAGCTTGATACAAAATTCACAAGGTACAAAAAGAATACCATGAAAATATTCTTGCACCCTATTCCTCAGTTAACCTCTGTCCTTCTCCAGAGCCAACTATTGTCTCAATTTCTGCTCTGTCCTTTCAGTGGTTATGTATGTCCTACAAACACTTACATAATAGTTTTTTCTCCTTATTGGGGATAATTTCTTCCTCTTTACAAGGCCCCCTGCATGCTATGCAAGTGCTCTGACACTGAGCTACCTCCCCTGCGCTATGTACTTATCTTTTACAATAAGACAAAAATGGTAGCATGTCTTATCATTCTTACTCACTTTAAAAAAATTTAACAATGTTTTGTTATGTTTTTAAATGGATATATTTTTAAAAGCATGCAATTTGTTTTGTTTTGTGCTTCTGAGGATTAAGTCCAGGGCTTCGTATGCTAGGCAAGCAGTCTTTCACTGAGCTATATCCTCAGCCTTCCTTTTACTTTTTCATTTTTTTTTCCTTTTTGGTGGTACTGGGCATTGAACCTAGGGCTTGCACACTGAGCTATACCCCAGCCCATTTTTAAATGTTTGAAACAGGGTCTCACTAAGTTACTAAGTTGCCAAGGCTGGGCTCAAACTTGTGATTCTTCTGCATCAGCCTCCTATAGTGCTGGGATTACAGGCCTGCAGTACCTGGTCTACCTCCTGTATTTTTGTTTTGTTTTTTGATACAGGGTCTCACTGTGTAGCTTAGGCTGGCCATAAACTCCCTGTGTAGCCCAGGCTGGTCCCAAACTCACAATAATCTTCCTGTCTCAGTCTCCCAAATTCTTCTGTTTTTTAATATAAACAGAAGTTTCTGTACCATTTAGACATTCTCGGCTCTTTGATTGGGAATCACTGACATAAGTTAATTTTCAGTAACACCTGACATAAATTCTGGCCCTTACTTTGTGCCAAGCATTGTTCTGAGCACGTTACACACTTCCCATAATCTACATTCTTCTAGTTTCAGTTTAAATATTATCTTCAAAGAAGCCTTCCTTTATCCAAGTTGAGCTCCCTTTTCCTCTTGCTGTTATTCTCTATCATTTCATCCTGGTTGATTTCCTTCAGAATACTTATCACTGTGAGCAATTAGTTACCTATTTACCTGCTTGTTTACTGCTGCCTCCCAAAGCCAAATAGGAGCTTTGCGAGCAGGGACAGAGTCCCTTAGGCTTACTGCAGTACATCAGGAAAAGTTCAGTGCCTTGGTGACTGGTACAGAGGTATCATGGGTTGAGTATTTATTGACAAATACATAATGAGCAAAAATATCTAGCTTTCTGAGATAGCCTTTATTATTTTCTCCATTATTCTGGTGAGAAAACTAAGGTCTAGAGAGTAAAAATACTCACTCCAAAGTTAATGAGTGACAAAATTGGTTGAACCCAGCTCTGCTTGACTCCAGAGCACAAGCTCAGTGCTTTTCTAGCCCCAGAAGCAGAAAACTGAATATAGTCTTGGCTGTGTGCGAATATATATAAATTCCGTTTTCTGACTGGGACTTTCTTTTTCATTGAGATAAGAGGGTAGAGTTAGCTACCCTCCTTATAGTAATGTTTTGTGCTTTGGGAGATCTATGATCTGTGAAAATGAAAGCAGGGTTCAATGAAAGGACCAACAAATTTGGCTTGGTGACTTTAAGGAGACTGATCTTCATTTCTTTTCTTCCTTTTCTACTTCCTTTACTGAAGACTTGCTGGTCCTTGCTCTATACCAGACATTGCGTTGGATGTAATTGGGATCCAAAGACTTACAGAACATAGGTCATAATTCTAATTATAGAACATTAAGACACCTGTCTGATGGGAGATTTCGGTGCATTAACAGCTGCTTGGAGTACTGCATGAGTCAATGCCATACTAGTATAATGTGCAAGGCCCACAGTAACAGAGAGGAGGAATAGGTTAATCCCATCATGTACATGCATGATGATGGAAGTGGTGGGGTCTGTGGGGGAGATGGGAGATCAGATACGATGCTGAGCTGGGTCTTAGAAAAAGAATAGTTTCCAGGTAACAAGGTGGAAATGAAGCTTCCTAGACATGAGTCATCACAAACAGAAGCACTCGAAGAAGCAGCGCAATAAGCTGACGAATGACAGGATAGAGGGTTGGCTCTCAAAATATAGAACTGGCTAAACAAATAGAAGAAGCCTGTGAAGAGCCGTGCTGAAAAGTCTGAACTTCACTCGTGACAGGTGTGGCCTGAAACATCTCCTGTGATGACAGGATTAGAAGTGGTCAGTGATAAGCCAAAAAGTGTGGTCAGGAGGCTTTGCAGTTGTCCAGGTGATAGATGATGAGGACTTTGACTTTAGGTATTTGCAGCAGAGTTGGAGAGGAAGTAAATAAATTAGATTTTTTTTTAAAGAAGGCAGAGCCAAAGGACTTGGTGATTGATCGGATAAGGGAGGATAAGAGAGGAGACTAAGCGACTTACTGAAAAGGATTAGGTAGCCAAGTATAAAATGATGCCATTAGTAATTATAGGGAAATTAGAGTCAGGTTGAAAAATAATTTTGTTGGCTTTGGCTATGTAGAGTTTGTGTCTTAAACACCTAGGAGGAAAGTCTGGCTTCCTTTTTCCTTTCCAGAGTAACAGTCCTAGACTAAGTCAGTCATCCATGGGCCAGTTTCCCACAGGGCCTAGCAAGGGATAAAATTCTCAAAGACCTCACTAGCATTTCTCAGCTCCATGTCCTTCAAGCATAAAAACTAGGTATTAAAAACTCCCTGGACCCCCCCACTGACAAAAGAATGGATTATGGATATACCGTGTATTTTAAAAACTCGGACACTGGCTCCAGTGGAACAAACTTCTGGCTCTTGTAAGCACCAGACTTGCATAAAGAAACCATTTCTATCCAGCAGTCTCCACTCCTAACCATTTTTGGCTCTCAATTGCCTGTCAAGAGCCCCTCTTCTCCCTTTGAGTTGATTTTTAAAAGAGAATGGGGGTTGCACAGCATGCAGCCGAGTTACCCCTTACCACTGGTGAAAGCCTGGAGTTCTAGGGACTTGGACCTTTTTCCAACCACCACCTCTGACCAAGAGTCCTCAAGGATGCCACAAGACTCTTTGTAGCTCCAAACCTTTACAAAACGACTAGGTTGGGATCCTCCCCACCTCAACTTGAATATCCAGCGCTCACCAGGCGGTGGCACGGCCGAGCACGTGGCTCCTCTGGGGGCCCGTTTTGTTTAGGGTCCTGCTAGGGAAGGAGACAGCCCAGGAGGCCGAGAGGCTGGCGCGCCATCCTGGTCGTGGCCATCTCTCTGGTTCCTACAGCCGAGGGCCAAAGACAGGAGCACTCCCTGTGTCCCACTCCCACGTTCCTAGGATGCTGTCAGAAGCCGCTCTCTCTTCTCCGCCCTCTCCTCAGGCACTACCCCCACTGTCATGCCAATAAATCCCAAGAGCAAAGGGTGGCACGATTCCTCCCGCGCGCCCCTGCGGTCTTGAAGGCGAGCCCTAAAGCAGCACAGCCCCAAGCTTCCCCTGCAGAAGCCACGCTCCGCTCGCTCCCGGGGCAGAGGGGGCGCGAGAGAGCCAGTGGGCGGGCGTCCCATCCTCCGCAT